ACATTGGCTGGCAGATGGAATCCGGAGGAGGCCTAACCTGTGTGATCGAATCAGTCTATGGGAGGTGATCGGCAGGAGGCGGTCTTATCAAAGCTTACCCACCTCCACCCTCCATACTTTTGAGCCTATCTTGCCAATGTCTCTCTTCTCTCTTTCCTCTTGTTAATCCCTTAAGACCGAATTAAATCAACAGAACGAAACCTTCAAGAAGAGCCACTCAGCGGAAAGTGCAAATCATTAGTACAGCTTTGACGTTCAGCCACAGTTTGAGCATATCTATTTTTTTAACCAGAACTTTTAGAATGTGTATCTCACTCAAATTATTACCCAGACAGCGGCTTTTTCTGAGATATTCGACTTGGAGGCTGTGGAGGAAGTGGTGGTGGAGTAGGTTTGGTCTGTGGTAGAGTTGGCTGTTTTGACTGCTGGTTCAAAGCTTCAAAACCACAGGCTGCCTTTGCAGCTGGAGGTGCTGAAGAGAGGATGTCTATAAAAATGCATGGACAGTAAGTATTTGGATGATAAATGCTGGAATGCTTGAAACAAGTCCCCCCCACCCCCAACCCAGTAACATAATGCTTTAGAAACTGGTTTTATTAAAAAAAAAAAACCAGAGAGAGGAACATAATCTCCACTTTATACCAAAAAATTAAGGCTCAAGACTACAAGGCTATAAATCCTAAATACACTTTTCTGGAATTCAGTCCAATTCAATGAAATAAGAAATATTTTTTGCACATGCATGGAAGGAATTGAATTGTAAAAAGCTAATCGTACACTGTCTTAGGTGTTGGACACATTATAGAAGTGTTTAGTTGTCTCATTTGAATAGACTCACTTATGGGGTATAGCTACCTGCAATTCACTGCAATATTAAGATAGAATGGACAGAATATCCAGAGCGCATGCATTCAGTAACAAGCTCTTCAAAATTCTTCAGTGTTTTCACTGCACGAGGCTGCCCCTTTGGAAAATCATACACTGAAAGCTAAACTAACAGAAACCTGATTAATTTAAGACCAGTGGTGGGATTCAGCCAGTTCGCACCTATTCGGGAGAACCGGTTGGTAACTTTCTAAGCAGTTCGGAGAACCTGATTTTTGGAAGAAATATTTTGTTTTTTCCACTTTACAGGGCTAATCCTGTAAGGAAGGCAGGAAGGAAACATTCTGGTGTTGTTTCTAGCCTCATCTTTATTGCCCTGCTTACAGAAACTGCCTCTCCGGTCAACCCTTATGACATTATAACAGCTAAGGCGAAATGCCCATCGACCTGAGTGACATTGGCTTGGCCACGCCCATCGAGTCACATGACCACCAAGCCCCATCTACCC